AAAAAAAACGATCATATCATAAGAAGCAGTACAGAGTCTACAGACATAACATAATATGCGACATAACATAATATGCAAGAGTGATTTAATTCTATAAATACCACACGAAGAATAGAAAGTGAATGTCAAGATCTAATACCTTGACAAATGTCCCATTTGTAGCCATTATTGTTGGGGGCTTGAGAAAAAGTCTCACGGATGGGAACAAAACATGCTGTATCGACCATTCCCGATGAGACCAAGCACGTTCTGCTTCCAGAAGCAGTTCGTGCTCAGTGTCGTCCTCCTTTTCATCCCCTGGTTTACGATAGCATATATTTTCAAGATTGAAATCATTATTGAAGAAAAAAAAAGTAAAAACGAAAAAAAAAAAAGAGAAAAAAAAAATCTCGTGAGGAATTCTTCAAATAGAGTCTTACTACTAGTATTCCTTGAAGCATTTCCTTCATCAAGATTGCCAGAAGGGACTTTCTTGTAAAATTTCAAGCCATCACCTGACGGATTAGGCAACAATGGAGGATGCAAGGCGTAGAAGTTAGCAATAGCAGCAGCAATTGTCTGAAAACATTTTTTCTCATTATCCCAGTTAACCTGCAGAAACAAAAAATTTATTATCAAATAGTGCATTACATAAAAGTTCCAGAAACAAAGACATTGAGTTTCAGATGATGAGGTTTTAATCTCACACCTTGATTAACTCTCCACCCAGATGAACCAAAAAATAATGTAACATATACAAGCAAGATTTAGCAAAAGGATAATTCTATTTGTTTATGTCTTATTTTTATTTCTGAAAAAAAAAGAAAAAAAACTTACGTCATTGCCCAAACAAAGAACAAATTCTGGAACACGATCCATGTCGGGCGTGTATTGGTCAAGTACGATTGGTAACCTCGACAAATTGCCATTTGGGTCAATATAAATTCCAAAATACTCCTCCAGCATCTCAGCTTTCTGCTTGATCAGTTCTGTATTCATCTAGCAAGCAAAAACATGAAAATTGGTCATATACAAACATGATAATGACAAGTGCACGATCCATAAATGAGATATCATTACTGAAGTGCACAATCCATATATACTTAAACTAGTAGTTAGTATTAAGAAAGTTACTTCGGCAATTTTTTCTTTGAGGTCATCATTTTCATTGCCTTCCGCATCCAAATCATCCTCTTTCAATGCCAGCATTATCAATTCTGGCAATGGTGCTGGATCACTCAACTGAATTGCAGTAAAATGTGCAAAACGCCGCAAGACTTGCTGATACATAAGCTCTTTGCTGCCAGTGCAAATAGGAAAAATCATAACTTGCAATGAAACCTGTCGTGCGGTGAATTTTCAGCTTTCAGCAATGGACTTGAATATGGATATGGTATGTGAGCTCTTTCAACATCAACATCAACATACCCAGTATATTCCCAAAAGGTTGGGGTCTGGGGGGTCAGTTGTACGCAGACCTTACCCTTGTAATTATACAAGGAGGCTGTTTCCATAGCGACCCAAGGTGCGTTGCGTCGTTTGATATATTTTTTCTAGAAACTTCACTAATAGAAGAAGCACTAGAATTTAATTGAGTCATTTTGATTTAGTCCATTATTAGCACTATGCCAGGAGAATTGTCAACAATGACTCTTCCAGCTCCATATGCAATGGACATAGTATGTGAGCTCTTTCAATGGGAAAAGTTAAAACAGGGGAAAGAAAGAAAGAAGTGAAAAGCTACCTCAGGTTGACCACATTAGCAAGATAAAGGTGAGTGTTGTGCTGCAGCAGAGCGAAAACATCATCTGCCATCCCAATATATGAGCAATGCCCGACAATGTCCAGCAACTCTATAAATACACAAGTCAGTTAGGGTAAATTACAAAGTTTGGTGTGAAACTTCAGTTACTAGCGAGGACATGACTTGACCAGAGTGACAGTTGGAATCAATGTCTCTAATAAGTTCCTGAAGGCTGGTGAGATCTGCTGTTTCCCTCGGGTTTCTCCTTTGCCTGACTGAAGACCTGCATTAAGAGAGAGACTGAGAGAAAGAGACTGAGAAAGAGAGAGAGAGAGTGATAGAGAGAGAGGCCTAAGTTGTATAGCTTCGTTACAGATTTTCAATAGTAATGAACATGCAAAATGGCCAGTTTCATACTTTATACTGAAACTTTGAAACAGTAACTGGGCTACCCAAGCAAGACACCCTATAATGATATGCAGTAAACTGCAATGGATCTACTAGGGCATGAAACCTGTGTATAATTCATAATACAGTAGGATCAATTGTGAGTTCTCACTCCTCTGACAATTTACAAATGAGATTTTATGCCGATGTACAAGGAGTAGATAAGCACTACCTTACGGAGGCCAAGCAAGGACTGCCTTGCAGTTGGCCTGAAGGCTTAACAGGCACGTATGCATGCAACCTTCCCGCAGGATCCTGAGAATCTGTTCGTACCATTTTTTGCACTGGAACTTTGTGAGATTTTGAGCCTGCAAAAATTGACAAGTAAAAAGGTAAAGAAATCATGCAAAGACCTTAACAGGGTAAAATGTTAGAAACAGATGTACAACTCAGACACCGAAGAAAAAAGGGGAAAACATAGGTTACGATACCTGAAGATGCCGGGTGCTTAGGGGAGTCTTTTACGACAGTATTAGGAAGAGATAGAGATTCCACTCGCTGGTTCAAACAAGGAGCATATATGTGAAATAGAACAAGAAAGGCGACCAAACATACATAACAGTATATACCAATGAGGATTAGCTGTGAAAATATATAAAAGACCCAAAATACCTGCTCGTGAAATGTCCGTGAATCATTACAGTTCCTCAATTTTGACTCAATGGCAGATTGTATCTTTTCAATGATAACTTCTTGACTCAGGAGGCTTACCTATGCACGAAATAATGTAACACTTAACAATGCGTGTGAATGTTTCACTTAATTCATGTCAGCTGCTATACTTAACTTTTCACACACCTCTCTCTTTGTAGGGTGTACATTCACATCAACGTCTTCAGGTGGCAATTTTATTGACATGTAAATGAAAGGCTTGGATGCCTTTGGTAATGTTGCAGCATAAACAATTTCGATTGCCCTCTTGAGAGCACCACATTCCACTAGTCTATCTAAATAATGTCAAATAATGCAACAAATGAGACCAATATGAACCTTATGATGAATAGACGAGACTATAGGAACTTGCCGCTGGAAGGAGCAAAACATATTCCTGAGATTTTAAAAGATTGAAATAGAGCGAGCACATAGGTTTCACGCACGGAAACTACTTACCATTGATGAAAAGCACCATTGTTATTTTCTTCGCAGCATAATTGGAGTTTGAAATAAAACCCTCCATTTCAAAAACTGAACTTGAGGGATCATCGCCCAAAACTTCAATCTTCATAAGATTTTGAGCAACTGATATCCCATAAACAGATCTGATTGCATCAAGCCTTGAGGATGTAGCAACTGAATGAACATCTGCTCTAGCAGATCCATGCTAAGAGAAAAATGTATTCTATAAGTACATAATTCTGTTCCTTGAAAATGGATATAAATGAAGTGCGCCTTGCTAATGACATACCTTTCTGCAAGAGAAGTTCACACTAGTGTGATGGATTGCAAATCGACATATTAAATCAACTATTTTGGGATAGTCATCGGCAGAATTCTGAAGTGTTTTCTTCCTAGCACTCATGTTATAAAATAGATTTTCAATCTGCCAAAAAATTCCATCACAAGGAAGCAATGGGGTTTAAATAATGGATTGATGGATATAATGGATTGATGGATGACTCTATGGGCAACAAATCTAAAGATACCTAATATCTCAGATAATTCAACCAAAATGTTATCATAATTGAAAACTGGCAACAATATTAGCTACAGACCATGATTTGGGTCCCCTTAACAGCCGCACATGGTTTAGGTTCATGCTCCATTGCACCGTCCTTATAAGTTGCCCTGACAAAGAGAGACAATGAGATCATACATACACTTGCAAGCATGGGGAGTTATACCTGTAATATAGAGATGATCAGAGAAGCCACGAGTCCAGAAAAAACAAATATCGCCAAAAGGCTTATGAGAAATTTGCCAATAACGTGGAAATTTAACTAGAACACCACAAAACATTTACATGGCAATCAAGTAGGCTCTATGTTGAAGCAAAAAAAAAAAATGCTTTTTCATAAAAGAACTTACTCGTAGCCCATAAACAAATCTTAAAGTTAAGGTACAGTATAAAATCTTAAAGTTAAGGTACCGTATCAATTACCTGTAACCATGCAACTGACCCTGGGTAATGGTGGTGACCGTCACATGGCCAACATAGGTCATACTTGCCAAGGCCTCACCTCTAAACCCCATTGATTTGATAGACATCAAGTCCTCAAATTTACTCAGTTTTGAGGTCGTATGCCTTTCACACAATATCGGCAGATCCTCATACTACGCACCATATACAAACATATAACCACTTTAGAATGAAAATGAAATACAAATGAGAACCTTAATTATAAGAGTTGAGAAAAAAAAGGTGAATACTCGAATTCCGTGGCCGTCATCTGTAACTTGAATGAGCTTCAGGCCACCGTCTTTAACCAATACCGACACGGACCTGGAGCTGGCGTCGATACTGTTCTCGACGAGCTCTTTCACGGCGGAGACCGGCCGCTGAATAACTTCGCCGGCGGCGATTCTGTTCACCACCGCCTCGTCCAGGCGGCGGATTACAGGCGGCTCCCTGTGAGCTGGATTAGGTACGAGTTCATCCATGTCCATTTGATCAGGGGCGTCGATTTCTATGTCCATTGTAGAGAACTGAAAAATGATAGGGTTTTGAGGTTAGGGGTTCTTCCCAGGTGATTAACCCGCACTCGCAGTCGCAGCTGAAATAAAAAATTTGGCGCCAAACAGGATCCACACATATCGAACCTTCACAAACTCGGGCTAACATTAAACTCGATTTTGAGTTCGATTAGACTCGACTCGTTAAAGTTTGAGCTCACATCAACTCATTTAATTAATTTGTTTAGGCTCGAAAATTTGGATTTATCGTTTGCGAATTCTACTGAAATGGTCTCGATTTGTTATGGCTTGAGCTCATATCAGCTCGTTTATTTAATTAGTTTAGGCTTTGAATTTTATGTGAATTTGATATAGTTCAATTGGTTAAAGACCAAAGTTTATCATCGGTTATATTACTCATACCTCAAGTCTCTTTTATGCCAATTTGTTGGTGATTAAACACCACAAGTCATTTTACTTAAATTGTGGCCCATATTTATACTAAATGTCTTCCAACAATTTTCATTTGCCAAAGGGCAAAAACAAAGGGAGTACCAACTAATAATAACGGTGCACTGATACAACACATGTAACCCCAAAAGGGGAGAAATGGCTGGCTCTAGGGCTAATCTGGAGAACTTTCAGCTCATCGACCCTTTGATATACCGATTAAACACGAAGTATTTTAAGCCAAAAATACAATAAAA